AAAGTCATTTGCTGGACTCCACTAGGGAGCATGACAATGTTCTCTGCTTGAGCTGGGAGGCATGCGGAATCATGTCGAGAGTGAACAAGATGTGAAAAGTACAGGAAATAGAGAGAATGAAAGGTAACAATGTGCAAACGAGATGGAAATAAAAACTAATTTTGATATACCTAAAAATGGTATTTTCAGTAAAAAACCAACTTTGATGAAGATGCGTCCATTTTAGATCATTTCTGTTCTGAAGTCATATCACTTGTAGAGAGGGAAGACAACTTTTTTGCTTGTACTAGTAGTACCAAGTCTCCATTAGTTCCATTTCAATGAAAAGTAGTATTAGATTGCTGAAACAGTAGAGGTTTCAGTTGCTTTTTTGTAAAAGTACTTCATTGTGATCTATAGAGTTTTTTGCGGGCAGTATTACGTCATTAAAAAGGTTTCAAAGCACAAATACACACGATAATTGGTATTTATTTCTTACAAAACAAGAGAGAGAAGATGTTCAACAAAATTTGTATGAAATTCCACAAAATGAGTTGTTTTTGGTCTCAAAAGCAATAGTTGACAATGGGCTGAGTATTGCAAAATAGCTTGGCGTACAGACGCCGACTTTAATAAAAAACGAGACTAAGATTCAAAAAAAGAACATTAAGGCCTGACTTTGTGGATAAGTGAAGACAACCTTATGCTTAGAAAAGGAGAAATAGACATTCCAAAGAGAGGTTTTGAACCAAGATATTAAGTAAAAATAAGGCTAAAATAGCTCAAACCTAGCCCGTTCTCAATTCCAGTTTTGAAACTTTTGGCCAAGCTTACTAATCTATGTAACCATAAAAGGAAACAATATTTACTAGTGAATGAATATGCCCTCTTCATGCTCAGCTCAAAGATACTATTCAGGGGAGCAAAATGTAAGCAATTGAGTTTTTTGGAGAGCAACGGAATAAGTCGAATTTTCCAAACCGCTCTAGTCGGAAACTATCATTCATGATTTTCCTTTTTTTATGAATTTCATTCTAAAAAAGGTTCTGAATCAGGGTGCACTTGTACTATCCTATAG